AACTGCCTTTTTTATGTACAGTACTAAGCTAACAGGTCCCCAACTATTTTGACTGCATTGACCACTACTAGTAGCATAGGGGAATACACCTACGTGGGATAACAAAATATGACTAGCTAATGGAGACTTGGGTGGGGTTATGGGAAACTATTTTCAATCAAGTCAAAAAAATTTAGATTTTTCTAGTGGATTTATGGTAATAGAAACATAGTCAATATATGGCAGAAACATACTAGTAGTAGTCAGTATGTAGTACATATGTACTACTAGCTTCATTTGGTTGCTGATACAGTTCCTCCTTTAGCTTTTCATCAGGTTGCTGATTCAGTTTCTCCTTTGGCTGCTAATTTGGTTGTTCCTTCTTTGGCTGCCAATTCAGGTGATCCTTTTGCTGCAGATTTGATTGTTGGTTCTCCTTTGTTTCTGGACCTGTATGCTCAGCAAAAACATACTGTGCTTTATACTTATTCCCTCCATTACATCCACCATAGCACTCCTCATACTCATCACTACTATAGTTGTAGCCATCTGAATCCCAGGAGAAGCTTCAATCCATATATTTTGGATTCCCCTGCTCAATAGGAGTAGAACCATTTGTTAGATGTGTGTGACAAATACAGTACCTACATGATGTGCAATATATGGAAGGTTCCTGTGTGTGTCAATGTGAATTCTAAGCAGCAGAGGGATAGCAATGGTTATCTCATCTACAAGTTCTGTCACAGCAACGTTTGGGCTTGGAAGAGGTGACTATTGCTATAGCATTAGAAATGATAAGAAAAAAAGATAGGAGGGACTGGAAGGCTGCCACAAAAGTAGAGTTGAGAGATAACTTTGAGTACATGAAGTACCTGTTGGATATTGAGGATTGGGAGGACACTGCTACTAGAAGTAGTAATAGAGACAACTGCGATGCTGTTGTTGGCAATGCTACTGATTCACCATTCAGTATGGATAAGACTGCCAACAGTGAATTCACTCTACCAACTGCTGTTGATGGTACTACTAGTACTGAGTTCAGTACAGTCAGTGGTGCTGGAGTGATTGGACTGGTGGAAGGAGTCTAGGAGGTTGTGTATCAAATAATTTGTATTGTAAATACTGTGGATGGTTTGACTTTGTCTTTGTTGCTGCTTTTGTTGCTCCCAATTCAGATTCTTGCTTATTTGTTTGCTTATTTGGTTCCTGCTGGTTCCATTGCTGATTTTGGTTGCTTGTTCTCCTTTGTTTCTGGATCTGTACTATCCTTCCAAGGTGTGTGCTGCTCAGGGATTACATACTATGCTGGTTGCTTCTTGTCTCCTCCATTAGAGCTATCAGATCCGTAGAAGTCCTTGCAGTCCTCTCCATAGTTGTCTGAATCCCAAGAAAAGCTCTGATCCATAGCATTAGGACTCCTCCACTCACTATCGTATAGCGTGGGCCAAGCAAAAAAACATGGTTATAACCGTACATTCGCAATTAAAGATATACGTACACGAATATCGATGAATATTCGTCGGATGCCGTACTCCCCCACCGCATTCGAAAGCTCTTTGAATTCTCTTTTTAACCATGTGCTTATCATACTTAAGCGTCCGTTGGGGAAAAAGTTATTGCCCAAACTGTCAGTTCGGGACTAAAACAGTTATACAGTTAAATTATACATGTGCGTGGATTAGCAGCCATCTAATTACCGTGTAATGACTCATGGGATTAAAATTTGACTTGTACCAGGGCTACATCGTGCACGTGCGAGCGAAACTATTTTGCACTCGTGGGATTAAAATTTGACTTGTACCAGGG